AATTTCTATTTTTTTTCTCTTGCAAAATCAATAAGAGATGTTATTAAGAACACGCACCCACACTGGGCTTGGGGTCAGAGGTAGTCCAGGCTGCCTCTGGGAACTGAGCCAGATCTGCTGAAGGCTGGCCCAGGGGCGCGGGCATGTCCCTCCTCTCTGAGCTCCATTCTCCCCCTGCGAGTGGGGGTCCTTGTCCTGGCACTGGGTGAGGAGAAGCCCCTGTGTGTGTGGTGCTAGGGGCCCACCCGTCCGGCATGTCCCGTGCCTGGCACACGCGCTGTGTGAGAAGCCCCCCCGTCCGGCGGGCGGTGCCCGTGCCTGGCCCTGGCGCTGTGAGAAGCCCGCCCGTCCGGCGGGCGGTGCCGTGCCTGGCCCTGGCGCTGTGAGAAGCCCGCCCGTCCGGCGGGCGGTGCCCGTGCCTGGCACTCACCCATCTGCCTCATGGAGCAGCACCGGGTGGGCACTGCAGGGCCCTCCTCTTGGCGACGAGAAGCCTGCCCCGCAGAGGCACAGCTCTGAGACCACTGGTCCCGGCCCAAACCCCAGGACAGCCGGGCATGGTGGAGCCCTGGCCTCTGGCAGGGAGTCGCCTTCGGCACGGATGCTGGAGCCACTCCAGAGCCGATTCTGGGCTCCCACTACGGCGCACGGCCCGGCCTGAGGCAGCGCTCGGCATTGGGTAGAGCAGCGCTTGAGTGGAAAGGAGACTCAGGTGAGGGTGGGCATCTGCATGCGGCGTGGGAGCCAGCCATTGCCTGGCTGGGCAGGAGGCCCTGAGGAAGCCCACCTCGCTCCTGTGCCGGGTGAGGGGTTCCCTCTGTCCGTCCCACCCCATGGACGAGGACGCAGGGCCTCTGCAGCCGCTCTGCCCCTGCCCCTCTGAGCTCCTAGGGGCCTGCTCTGCCCGGACCTGGCGTGGGAGAGCCACCCCCTCCCTCTGGGGCTGTATATGAGACCCTCCCTGTGGGCGGAGACCGAGGAGGCGCCCACTCCAGCCACAGTGAGTCTCGCTCAGCAGCCAGTGCCTGGCCCGGTCCCTGTCGCTCAGCAGAGCAGATGGGAGGCCTGGCCCCCAGGGCAGCTGGAACCGATGTCCCAGCGACGCCCGGCCTTCGTGGTTGAGAGCAGCCAGACACTCAGGTGCTTTATTTCCTTTTAATGTGAAACCTAACTTCCCAATGTTGGCTCAACTTACCCCAGCAAACCCTCCCCCAGGGGGTGCCCCACAGAAACAGTGACGAGTGCTGTGGAGCCACCCGGCTCCCACCCGCCCTGGTCCCTGGCCCCAGAGGGCGCAGCCCCTGCCTGTGGCTCCACCCTCCTCGGCTCTCCCGGGGTAAGAGGGGGAAGATCAGCCCTGGACCCTCGCCCTGACCCCAGCCCCAGAGCGGCTGCTCAGTGGGGTGACCTGCACATGCTCAGGTGGCAGGCCCCACCCTCCCCCTCCCCCTCCGCACCTTCATCCCACCCCAGCTTCAGCACCCTGTGAGGCAGCCCCAGGCCCGGTGCCCGAGAGCCTGGGCGCGGATTCCTGGGAGTGAATCAGCTACAGGACAGGAGGTCAAGGAAGAGCAGGCTGGGGTTCCAGAGGAACCTCTCCCCAAGCGCTTCCCCTGGGGGGCCTGTCCAGCCGTGTGAAGGGCCTGCTTCTGCCCGTCTGTCTCCAGACGGTTCCCGCACTGGCTCCCCGAGCTCAAGGAGCCGAGCTGCCCAGCCCTTTCCGCTGCCACCTCCCCCCAGGCCTGGCCTCCCCTCCATCCCTCCTGGGGCCAGGAGGGTCCCTTCCTGAGGCTCCGCCCCATCCGGCCTGAGTGAAGGGCAGCCACAGTCCGGGGCTCCGCCTACGCAGGCCGGGCTGGCTGTGCGATCTGTGCGGTCAGGGCTCTGGAGAACCCGGAGGGCCCTGGCCCAGACCACCGCCTTCCCCACTGCTTCCCTGCGGGCACTGCCTCACAGCCCACATGCCCTGAGCCTGCCCCTGAGACCGGGGCAGGGGATGAATGGGGAGCAGGAGGGGAGGAGGGGCACCGTGGGGCCCAGAGCAGGGCGGACCGTGCCCCTGGGAATCAGACCCCAGCCACCCGAGCGTGCAGAGGGCTCTCCCGGGCCCCGGGCCCCAAACCCGGCATCGAGTGAGGCCACAGGCTCAGGCGGGGTCTGGAGGAGGCAGGTGGGGCCATGCCCGATGAGCCACGTGTCCCCGTGAGCCGTGCGGCTGTCACGTGGCTAGACACGTGTGGCACGGGTGACACCACTTCAGGCCCCCAGCCCCTGCGGGAGGGACGGCCTGTGGCAGCCACATCTGTGTCCTAACGACAAAGCTAATATCACCAAACACGAGCCCTCCCGGCAGTGCCCTGCTGACTGGGCACATCCTGCTGGCGGAGGCCTCATTCCGAGGTGCCCGACCGGCTTGCTGGTGCCGGTGACGGAGCCGAGGCGGGGCTGACTCTGCGGAGCCGGCCCCCGCCCCGTCCCGGCCGGCCTCCCCACCAGCCTCCCCACCAGCAAGGCCAGGCGCAGCAGCCTCAGTCCAGGATGAAATGCAGCCGGAGGCAGCTGCTGGGGTGGCAGGGCTGGGCGTGCGGGGGCGGGCCGAGGTCGGCTTGTGCTTTCCTGTCTGTCCACACGGTGAATCCCACGCGAGGACTGGTTTTCCTCAGGACGGTGCTCCCCGCCGGCTGTCTCCTCAGTCCCACGCCGGCTCCACCGAGCAGCCGTGCGGTTTGCTCTCCCCGCAGCCAGGGCCAAGGGCGGGCGATGGCGTGGAGGCCCAGCCCCGAGCCGTGTGCTCCGGCCGCACCTCCTGAGCTTCTCTGATTCACCCACGAGGGCATCTCTTGCTGATTCCCACAGGCCCGTGCGGCCCCCCGTGTCCCCCCTGCACAGCGTCCGAGCCCTGGCAGGCGCCTCTGACCACGCCCGGCCGGCCTAGCACCCAGGCCCCTCCCTCCCCTCTCATCTCCAGGCCACACTGTGCTCCTCCCCATCCCCATGCCAGCACCCCCAGGCCCTAACTGCCCCCCAGGACCTGCTCCGCTCCCTCCCTGGTCACCCAGCTCTGCCCCACCCCCACCCCAGGCTGCAGAGCTGATCACGCCCACCTCCTAACAGCCCCGTTATTGTCACCCCATCTGAGCTTCTTCTGTGTTGCTCTTCACTTTTGAGATTCAGTTAATACAGTTCATTTTTTTAAAAAGTATTTTTGGTTCAAAATACAATATTGTGACTGGACACAAACGAACAAACAAAAAGCCCTCCTGTCAATGGCCCTGTGGCCCCAGGTGAGGCCACACTCCTTGTTGTGACCCACGAGGTCCCCACCCCCTGGCTGCAGTGCCCCCTCAGCAGCAGACCTCCTGCCCAAACTCCAAGCAGCCTCTCAGTGCTGCCCTCAACCCCAGGGCCTTTGCACAGGCTGACTCTGCCCACACCCCTTGCCGCCTCCTTCCTCGACCTCCGTCCCTGCTGCCAGGGCCCTCCCGCTGAGAGGCCTGCCCTCCCCTCCGGTCCCAATCAGGCCCCTCGGTTCACCTTGGCAGCGCTTCTCACCATCTGAAATGACATTTTTGTCGTCAGAATTGACTTGGCAGCTCCAGATGCTTCCCTCCACCCTTGCTTCCTCCTGAGCGAGGGGTCAGCGCTCGCAGCCACGGCCCTTCCCAGGGGACGGGCCTCCCAGCACGCCTGTCCGCAGGCCGGCCGCCGCTGACGAACGCCCATGAATCAAGTTGACGTTTCCATTACCGAGGGCCGGGCGGCCGGCTTCGGTGGGGGCGGCGGGATGACGGCTCATCACAGCCGCCAGCCGCGGAGGGACATCAGCTGGTGCGGCTGGGACATCAGCCGGGGCCGCTGGGACGGGCTGCCCATCAGCCTCCGCTGGGGAGGGACTGATCTGGGGACATGGGGCGATGTGGGCAAATGAGAGGGCAGAGCCCCATTTCAGGGCGCCGCGTCAGTGCAGGCACACGTGCACCCAAGTGTGTGGGTCCAACGGGGGCACACAGCATGATGAGTGCCGAGGACACACGTTAGCACGTGTGCACGCCGAGCGGCATCCTGCGCTCAGATGTGTCCAGGCCGGCGTGTGCGCTCAAGCCCGGGCGGGACACGTGACCGCAGGGACCCTGGGTGCAGGGTCCCGGAGCAGAACGTGAGAACCGCTCTGGGCTGTGGGTCAGGCCAGCGTACGGGGGTCAAGAGGGAAGGCGTGCACACAGGAAGCCAGCGCCATTCAGCCATGCACACGGGCATGGGACTGAGCAGGGACGCTGCAGGGGCCGGAGCAGGGGCCTCGCTTCCCAGGCAGGGTCTCCGTGCTCGCCCAGGCGCCCCTGCCTTCAGACCAGCTGGATCTCCCTCCTCCCATCCCGGAGCGGCACGTGCTCCCTGCATGTGGGAGCCTCCCAGGCACCCTCCGTGGGGACCCACGGGGTCCTCGCCAGCCTGCCAGGAAGTGCTTCCTTCCATCCAGCCAGCGGCCTTCCTGCTGCAGGCTCTGCAGACTGTCCTCACCGCCTGCCCGCAGGCCCCAGCAACGACAGGAGGACGTGGAGCCTGGGGCGGTGCAGTGGCCCTCGGGGGAGCCGTCCGCGTAGCAGAGTCACGTACACTTGCACAATTATTTATTTAATGAGGTTTTCTCTAAGACGACTCCTCCTTTTTACTCAAATGCCTAGTTTGGTTTCATCCTAAGCAGTAATATCTGTGAACTCAGGCACGGATGTGCGCGTTATACATTTTTCCTAAGACACAGTTACATAAACACGACTATTAAAATAGATTAAAATTTTACCCACGTGCCACCTAAAGGCATGTCCCGGGCCTCTGAGGGCCACTTGCCGGCGTCAGAAGGAGCTCAGTGAGCACGGAGCTCCAGCAGCCGGGGCCGGCCAGGGCCCGGGGGGCGGCCGCCCAGCCCCACGTTTGCAGCCACGGGTTCCTCTCGCCGAGGCCAAAGCCCGGGCTCCCGTCCTGGCAGGCAAGGCCTTTGGGATTGGGCCTCCTCTCTCTCCAGACCCACCTCTGGCCCCACATAGTAGGTCCGAAATGCTGAGCAAATGAAGGATGGGTTAATGATGCACTCTTGTCAATGCATGAATGAATGAGTGAGCAGACACCTCCAGCAGGAGGTGTCCCCTTCCTCCGTCCACCCCGAACCCGTTCATCTGTCCCTGCTCACCAGCTCCTGCGTCTGCCCTCTGTCCGTCCCCAGGGCCTCCCCTCTTCTCTCCCCTCAACCGGGGGAGGAGGACACCAGCCCCCCCCCTCTATTCTCCGTCCACGGCTTCGGGGGCCTCCCACCTGCTGAAAGCAGCCGCTCTTAGGACTCAGCTAAGCTTCCCGAGGGGCTTAGGCCCGGCCGGCCTGGCCCCACCCACCTCCACAGCCTGCGTCACCACGTCCTCCTTTCCCCCCACACCTGCCATGGCCCATGGACTGCTTTCAAGTTCCTACGATGCTCCCAACTGTCTTCCCCTCTACACCCGTGTCTGCCTGATGTCTAGACAACTTTATGTTTTAGCTCCAGTGCCCTTGTCCCAGCACAGCCTCCTCTCTCCACTGCCCCCAGCCCCGCAGGTGCGGCCTCGGGCGCCCACAGCCTCCGCCCTTCCCATGGGAAGAGCAAACACCGGCAAAGCGCGTGCACTGAGCCAGGCTCTGTCCAAAAGGTGTCACGGACATCAGCTTGTGGGCCCTCGGAGCAGCTTTCAGAGGTAGTTGGAATGACCATCTCTGTGCCCACGGGAAGGAGGCACAAGAGAAGTCAGGCAAGTTGCCCGAGGTCTCAAGTGAAGGGGCTGGAACTGGGCACCCCAGCTCTTCACACACCGAACCATCATCGTCCGTTAGTTATCTGTCCTGCCCATCTGTGAGCTCTGCCAAGGCAGATACCCTCTCTGGATGGTTCCATGTCCTACCTCCAGTGCCTCCCGCAGTACTTGGCCCAGAATAGGGAACAATGGGTTATATCACTGGACAGATGAATATATGGATGGATGGTTGAATAATGAGGATGGGTGATGCATGAAAGAATGATGTATAAATGTCTGATGCAGGGAATTATGGTAACTAATGGATGGATGATGGATGATAGATGATGGAGGAATAAATGATGGATGGATGATGGATGGATAAATGATGGATGATGGGTAAATGGATGGATGATGAATGAATGATGGATGATGGATAAGTGATGGATAGATGGATGATGGATGAATGATGGATGATGGATGGATGAGTGATGGATGATGGACAGATAAATGATGGATGGATGGATGGATGGATGGATGGATGATGGATAGATAATGGATGGATGGATGACGGATAATGGATGGATAAGTGATGGATAGATGGATGGACGATGGATGGATGATGGTTGGATGATGGGTAAATGGGTGGGTGAATGATTAAATGGGTGGTGAGTTTATGGAAGAGTGAAGAACATTGTCTGCTTGAGAGAAAGCTCTAGAAATCCTTGGGGAAGGGACGAGGTCTCTCGGAGTCTGGAGTCCTGGTTCAAGCCCCAAGTCTGCCATTTGCTAGCTTTGTGGTCTTGGGTCGGTTTCTTCATCCCTGTGACCCTTAGGCCTCCTGTCTTTAGAGTGAAAGTCTGTTTCCCAGCCCTGGAGCCCTGGCATTTGATGTAAAGGTGGCTCTAAGAGTCCCTGTGGAGGTCAGCGTGGCTGAGGATCTGGGTGCGAGGCCCTTCTCTTGCTATCCTACCTTTCCCATCTGCCTGACACCCCACCCTACCCACCTCTGGAATCCAAGGCAGCCTGCAGCCTGACCGACCCCAGACCCAGCAGGCTCTGGGCTTCCTCCCCCACGCCCTGCCGGACCCCTGGGTGCCCGGCTCCCGCCTCAGGCTCCTCGGGGGCCGGCTAGGATGGAGCCATGAAGGGCAGCCACGCCAGAGAGCAACTGGCCTCCACACACAGCAAGGAAACGGGTTCAACAAGCATTTATTCAGCCCTGCTGTGTGCCTGCTGTGTGCCCCCTCAGTGCCATGCCCCGCCCCCCTACAGGTAGGGCCGCTGGGCACCTCCTGAACTGCCTAGCTGGCTCTGGGACCCCAGGCTCCCAAGGGCCGATGTCCGGTTTTTCCTGGCACCCGGCTGTACCCACAGGGCTCTCCTGTGGCAAGAGAGAGAGGTTGCTGTCCGGAAGGCGCCCTGTGCAGCAGCCCTGTGCACCCCGCAGGCCCACGGCTGGGCCGGCCGGTGTCCCCGTGCAGGCTGGCTGGTTCGGAGCGCACAGGCCAGGGTTCGGTGGGGCCAGACGCACGGCCTGCGGGGCTGGTGCCGACGTGGCGGGTCTGGCCGGCGGGCCGCGGTCACACCCAGTGCCCCAGGACCCAGCACTGGCGGCTCAGCTCTGCGGCCTCGTGTGCAGAGCTCCGCGGCCAGGAGTCGCCCACCTGGGGCTGGTGTCCTGCGGAGAGAGGGAGGGGGTCAGGCTCACAGTGCTCCCCCTGCGCTCCTCCTGCCCACTGCCCCCAGCTCACTGCCCACCACCCACTGGCCTCTCACAGCCCTCCCACACCCCCGGCCCAGCTGTCTGCCCACCTGCAGCCTCCACCCCGTCCCACCTACCAGCTCACCCTCCACCCACCCGCACACCCAGCTTTCCACACCACCTCACGCCCCTGCCCACCCAGCAGCCCACCCATCCACCAGCACCTGGACATCCACCACCAATATCCAAGCCACCAGTGTGTCCGCTCCCCTCACACTCCTCCCACCCGCATCGCCCGCAGCCCTGTAACCCACTCACACAGCTCCACACACAGCACAGCACACACACCCCTAACACACCACCAGCTGTTCCCACACACACTGCTACCCACAGCCCCAACAGCCACTCCTTCACCTGCCACCCACCCTTCTACTCGCCACCTTTTCCCTACTCCCAGCCTGCTGTCACCCACTAATGCACCAATCCCAACCCCATCCTCCTGCCCCCACCACCCACATCCCACCAACATCCACCACCGCCCTCACACCCTCCTGCCACACTCACCCTCCTCCCACCACCACCCACCACTGCCCCCACCATCGCCCCCACACCATCCTACCCACACTCACCCACATCCCACCAACACCTACCAACACCCACCACCGCCCTCACACCCTCCTGCCCCCAACTCACCCACCCCACGTCAGGCCACCCCCACCCACTCTCCATCTCTGCTTTCTTTTCACCCACCCACTCCCTCAGTCCCACCAATCGCTCCCCTGCCCACCGTTTACCCACCCCCATCCCAGCCCCCCTGCAACCACCCCTCCCCACCCCTCCACAAGCCTCTCCCCACCCCTCCCCTCCCCTCCTCACCCCTCCCCGCCCCTCCCCACCCCTCCTCACCCCTCCCCGCCCCTCCCCTTCCCTCCCCACCCCTCCCCACCCCTCCCCTCCCCTCCCCACCCCTTCCCGCCCCTCCCCTCCCCTGCCCACCCCTCCCTACCCCTCCCCCCCCCCCCCACCCCTCCCCCCCCCTCCCCTCCCCTGCCCACCCCTCCCCGCCCCTCCCCAACCCTCCTCACCCCTCCCCGCCCCTCCCCAACCCTCCTCACCCCTCCCCGCCCCTCCCCAACCCTCCTCACCCCTCCCCACCCATCGGCCCAGGTGCCTGGCTGTGCTGTGTCCTGCGTGTGCCGGGCTGTGGGAGGTGAGGACGCATGGACAGGCGCCCAGGCCCGGTCCTCAGGGCCCGGGGACGGCGAGGCCGGCTGCCTGAGCAGCTCTCTGGCCAAGCTGCCCGGGCACAGGCCGCCCTCAGCAGGAGGCTGGGAGCTGTCCTGCCGCCCAGGCGCACCCAGGCACACCCCCACCACACCCCTGCCACACCCCGGTCACACCCCACCACACCCCAGCCACACCCAGTCACACCCTGGTCACACCCCAGTCACACCCAGTCACCCCCCCCCCGCCATACCCCAGTCACACCCCAGTCACACCCCAGCCACACCCTGGTCACAACCCAGTCACACCCCGGTCACACCCAGTCACACCCCAGTCACACCCCAGTCACAACCCAGTCACACCCCAGTCACAACCCGGTCACAACCCAGTCACACCCCAGCCACACCCCAGCCACACCCCCGCCATACCCCAGTCACACCCGTCACACCCCAGTCACACCCCAGTCACACCCCACCACACCCCGCCACACCCCAGTCACACCCAGTCACACCCTGGTCACACCCCAGTCACACCCCAGCCACACCCCAGTCACACCCCAGCCACACCCCAGCCACGCCCCACCACACCCCAGTCACACCCCAGTCACACCCCGCCACGCCCCAGCTTTCCGGGCCCCGGAGCTCGCTCCCTGCCGGAGCCTCCCAGGCGGCTCTAACCTGCCGGCCCAGGTCCCGCTCCGCACTGCAGCCCAGAGGACACGGTGCCCGTACCTGCCCCGCCGGGACCAAACCCTCCGGCCCAGCTCACGCTGCTCCTGCAGGGAGTGTCCCCTCCCAGCCCGGCTCCCCGCACCTCGTCACCCCCCCGCCCCCCACGGCGTGGCTCTCCTCAGCGGGCCCAGGAGGCAGGGCTCCTCCCTGCGGCCGCCCCGCGGGGTGGGTGGGGGTGGAGAAGGGGGCCCTGGAGGTCAGAGGGACACGGACAGCAACCAAGCGCCCTGCGGGGACACCAAGCCAGGGCAGCCGCCGCCTCGTCACAGAGAGGAAACCGAGACCCAACAGCGCCCGCGGCGCCTCAGGAGCCCCGGACGGACTGACGGAATAACTTCCTCCCTGACGCACACTTCCGTGGTGAAAGCACCTGCTCCGTGGCTTTCCCCGCCGAAGGGGCACCCAGGCCTTCCTGTCACCCTCTGGGTCAGGCAGAGCCCTTACAGCAAAGCCCGGGCCCCGCTCGCACCCCCTCCCCACCCACCCCCGACAGGCTGCTCCCGCCCGCCCCCCAGACCAGCCCTGAGCGGCAGGCTTTCCTGGGAGCGAGGCGGAGGGCCGGGGGAGGGCAGCTGGCGATGCCACGCGGCGCCCCCTTCTGTCTAACACCCGCCGGTGCCAGCTGGCTCTGCCCGTTTCTCCGTCCTCTAGACGGGGCGGGAACGGCTGGCAGGCACTGGGGATGGCGTGGCCTCGGGAAAGACATGTGTCTTGGCCCCGGCCACAGAGGCAGTGCGCTCCTTGGAAGTGCTGGCTGCCAAGGTATAGGAGTTGGAGATTAAAAAACAAAACAAAACAAAACAAAAAACATCTAAAAGCAAACATTTGTGCAAAGGATGGTTTGATTATTTACCTAAAGGAACGTTTAAAAGCAATTGTAGTTGCTCTTACGTTGCTAACAGGCATAACCCCGGAGAGTTCATTGGAACTGGGAAAAGGTCAACAATAAACGATCAGAGTGATCAGCGGTTAGAGAATTGTGAGTGAAGGGTCACGGGTCCAATTCCCAGTCAAGGGCACTACCTGGGTTGCAGGTTCATCTTTGGCCCCAGTCTGGGCAGGCATGTGCAGGAGGCAACCAATCCATGTGTCTCTCTCACATCGATGTTGCTCTCGCTCTCTCCCCTCCCTCCCACTCTCTAAAAATTAAATTTTAGAAAGTGAAGAAAGGCCACGGTCCCTGTCCTTCCGTGAGTTGAAATCAGGCTCCTTGTCCCCTGGATCCAGAGGCCCAGTCACTGAGGACCGGTCCTCGTCCCCCCTCCAGCCGCCCAGCAGGTGGGGGACTGGGTGCTCCGTCCTCCGCAGCCCAGAGCCCCCACAGCCACCAAGACGCCCGCTCACTCCCTCCTGACAGCCCTTCCCTGTGGGGCCAGTCTCCAGCCAAAAAACAAAACAAACGAACGAACAAACAGCCTCACCCTGTGCAGCGGGAAGCCTATGTCCCCAGGGCCGGGCCAGGCGGGGCGGGGGGGGGGGGCGGGGGGGCAGTGCGCCAGAGCGGCCGGTCCCAGCGCCGGGCGAGCTCCCTGTGGGGATCCTGAGCCCCGCCTTGCAGAGCGTCCGGCACACTGCACCGGAGTCTCAAATGCAACCCCAATGGAAGCGATCACAGCCACGATTGTAAAAATGTAAGTCCTCCTTGGGCCAAGCAGAGTTCGGAGGCCAGACTCCCCCCAGGAGGCCGTGTCTGCCTGTGTCCCCCCTGCAGCCCGCGCCACGCATCCGTCTGAGGCCTCGGTGCCCCGGCCTCTCTGCCGGGTGACCTCCCTGTGACCTCCCTCTGCTGCCCCGTCCCCACGTCTCTGAAATGCTCCCTCTCTGTGTCCCCCCCCCCCCCCCCCCCGCACATCCTTCTGCTCCTGTGCTGCCACAGTGTGTGGTGTTTCCCCAGCGAACCTGGGGGTTCGATGCAGGCAGAGACCAGGCAGCTCTCCCCTGCCCACCCACACACACACACACACACACACACACACACACACACACCTGGCTGGGCACAGAGCGAGTCCCGAGCTGGCTCTACAACAAAGACACCATGCGGGGGGGGGGGGGGAGGGGGAATGGATGGGTGGCCCTGAGCGGGGCGGCAGGGGGTGGGAGGAGGGGGGAGGGGGCCTCCCCTGTCTTCCTCAGCCTGAGTCCAGAGAGGCTCTCTGCTCAGCCTCTCCTCCTTGGGGGACTGGGGGAGGGGGAGGGGGGAGGGAGGGGGCAACAACTGTGCTTGGAGTCTGACAGCCAATGGTTCAAATCCGAGCTCTCCCATGTACACGCTGAATGACCTCCGCATTGAGCTGCATGACCTTTGACAGGTAAGGTCGCCTCTTTGAGGCAGCACAGGGGTGGGAACAGAAGGCAGGCAGGAGGCCCCTGCAGAGGAGCCGCCATGGCCCAGTCTCAGAGGCCACTGGCGGGTGCTGGGTGCCGCAGCCTCCCTTCACCGACGGGGAAGCCCAGGCCTGGGTTGGGGAGAGCTCAGTCCAGGGCCCCCCTCCGAGGGTCGGTGGCCATACTGTGTTTCAATCCCCTGGACACCCCTGGACCCCACACTGAGTCAGAGCTCTCCCTGCGAGATCTCTTCCGTTTCCAACCCAAATATCAAAGCGTGGACATGCTTCGCACCCGTCTCTTCCCGTCTGAACCGGAGAATCGCTGTCCTGACTCCCTCCAAGGCGCCAGGACCCGGGTCAGCGCTCAGCTCTGCGGGACTGAGCGAATCACATCCGAGGTGGGCTGGTTCCGCTGCGAGGCCCTTGGAAACCAAAAATGCCAGTGCCCATGCCACCTCGGGTGCACGGCGATGGGGAGACGGGCCCTTGGGGGGAGGGCACTCTCCGAGGGACTCTAGGTGGTGGGGGCGTTAGGGAGGCGGGCAGGTGGCTGCAGGAGCTGTGACCCCGCTGCAGCCCAGCCCCACACGGAGCCCGGGATCCCGCTGTCCGAGGTGCTGAAGGCCCAGCCGGAGCCTGCAGTTTGGCTGCCCAACCTCGAACCCCGGCTTCCGAAGAGAGATGCCACGTGGGGATAAAGGAATCGAGGACAGCGCCAAGATGCTGCCTTTGAAGACCCGTCGGCTGGTGACACCACCAGCCCTGTCGCGTTGCCGGAAATGTCACACCCCACTCAGGAGAGCCGCACCCAGAGGGGCTCAGGGACCCATCACACCGGGTGGCTGTTTCCCTCCCTCCCAGGGGCCATCCCAGGCCGGACGCAGGCGAGGACAGCAGCTCTGCTTTGACCCGTCACCGCGTCCCAGCGTGAGGGCAGCCCGGCCAGTGCTGAGGGCGCGGCCGCTGAGGGAGCGGCGTCTGGAGGACGCGGAGGAAGAGCAGCCGGTGTGGGACCCACGCGGAGGGCAACGCTGGGCTGACGGGTCCACCTGAGGGGCACGTGGTCCAGGGCATTGAATGGGGATCCCCCTCCTTCCTTCCCCGGAGCCCGTCTCCCCAGACCCTGGTGTCCGTGCTGGAACGTTCTCTCTGTCTCTTTCTCACACCGGAACTCAGACTGAGTCCCCCTGACCCGCCCCCTGTCCTCAGAGCCACCGATGCTCTCGTTCCCTCCTTAGACATTTGCTGAGCACCTTCTGTGTGTCAGCTCCCTGTTGGGCGCTGGGTCTACAGACAGGAGTGAGGCACAGACCCGCCCCTCTCCACCTCCCCCACCGTGTGTACAGCCCGGTGAGGGAGGTGGATGCACATGAGGAGACGATAGTGAGAGCCTGCAGCTCTCCATCTGTCACATCCCGGCGCCCCGTTACTCCTCAGAAACGAGTTAGGTGTCCTTCCTGTGCCCATTCTGCGGATGAGAAAACTGAGGCCCACACAAGTTGTCATTTGTCGAAGGTCCCACTGCTGGGCTGTGAGCCCAGGCAATCTCCCTCCAAAGCCTGGGCCACGAAGCTCTGCCTCGTCGGTGTGAGTGCCCGGCCAGGAAAACGCAGAGGGAAGATGCCCACCGCTGCCAGGGCTGGGGGGTGCGGGCAGACGTTCCCAGACCTGTGAGCCAGACTCTGAAAGCACCTGTGGATCTCGTGATTCCACTGTGTGTGTGTGTGTGTGTGTGTGTGTGTGTGCGCGTTTGCCAAACGGAGCAGGGAGCAGGTGTCCTCGGCAGAAGGGGCAGGGTGTGAAATAGGTCCTTGGCAGGTAAATGAGGTTTTGCGGAGGCGTGGACACCGGCACTGTTGGTGGCAGGGAAAGCAGGGAAGCCCGGAAGCGGGGGAAGCTGGCGGCTGGGTGAGGCGTGCAGGGCCCCAGTGAGAAGGATGCAGCAGGCTCCCTGGGGACAGGTGCCCTCCCGTCCCTGGGGATTCGCTGGGCCCTCAGATTTGTGGTTGGATTCTGGGCCTGCCCCAGAGCAGAGCATGGACATCTCCAGCAAGGCCAGTATTTTAGCAGCTGCCCACGTGTTTGTCGGGGTCAGGAGGGATTGCGGGAACACGGCCTCATGCAAAAACGGGCATGAGAACAGCGGCAGCTTCTGTGCGGAGTCAGCGAGGAGTACTGCTTTGTTTCCGGGAAGCCAAGGCTCCCCACTTGAAACCGGGCCTGTCCTCAGAGCCACACTGAGCCGGGCCTGTCCTCAGGGCCACACTGAGCCGGGCCTGTCCTCAGGGCCACACTGAGCCGGGCCTGTCCTCAGGGCCACACTGAGCCGGGCCTGTCCTCAGGGCCACACTGAGCCGGGCCTGTCCTCAGGGCCACACTGAGCCGGGCCTGTCCTCAGGGCCACACTGAGCCGGGACTGTCCTCAGGGCCACACTGAGCCGGGCCTGTCCTCAGGGCCACACTGAGCCGGGACTGTCCTCAGGGCCACACTGAGCCGGGCCTGTCCTCTGGGCCACACTGAGCCGGGCCTGTCCTCTGGGCCACACTGGACCGGGCCTGTCCTCAGGGCCACACTGAGCCGGGACTGTCCTCAGGGCCACACTGAGCCGGGCCTGTCCTCAGGGCCACACTGAGCCGGGCCTGTCCTCTGGGCCACACTGAGCCGGGCCTGTCCTCAGGGCCACACTGAGCCGGGCCTGTCCTCAGGGCCACACTGAGCCGGGCCTGTCCTCAGGGCCACACTGAGCCGGGCCTGTCCTCAGGGCCACACTGCCTGAGGCCAGTCAGTCCCGGTTGCGCTGACCACAGACTGTGCTCTCACCGGGCTGCCCGTGAGCGAGGCATTGAGGTCCCTGTCCAGAGCCGTCTCCCTCCAGGGGAGAGCGTTCCCAAGGGCGTGCTGAGCGGCTGAGGAAAGAGGAAGCCGTGATGGGCTGGTGGGGGAGGGCTCGGGGGGACGTGCCAGAGGGGCTGGCCCAGCACCCACGGCCACCGGTGCCACCACAGGGCGTGGGGCTGCGGGTGAGGAAGGCAGGGCCAGGTCGTCGCCTCAGGAGGAGGATCGGCAGGGTGTTGGCCTTAGTGCAGCCATTTCCACCCAGAACCGCTGAGCAGCCCAAGCACGGGACAAAGCGGCATGGAGGGGCAGGTGCTGGCCGGGCGAGGGCTGCCTGGGGCCTGGTCTGAGGGACATGTTAGAAATGTGAGCCCCAGGCCCTGCCAGCCCCCCGAGCCCCGAATTCAGGGCTGGGCCTGGCAATCTGCATTTAAGGAGCATTTCTTTCCCCCCCCCCCCCCCCCCCGCCCGCCCCAGGTGATTCTGACGCTGACATTGGCTTGGACCGCTCCACCCCCGTGCCAGGCATTGCCAAGCTGCACGCCTGTCTGTGCGCCCAACAAGCTGGCATCGATACTCATTTCAGAAACGGTGTCTGTTTCCATGTCAATAAAGGAGAGACTTCGGCGGGACTCCGTCGGATCTGATCTCGATGGAATAAGAATGCCAGGCAGCTCCGGGCCCGGCAAAGCCTTCCCTGCGATTCCGGCGCTGTGCGGAGGGCAGCGGTGGCACAGAGGCGTCCGGACGGAGCTCCCAGAAGCCGCCTCTGTCGCCGGCGTGCGACCGCCTCGCCCGCCCGGCCGCCCAGACACACCTGGCAGAATCAAAAGCGTGTCCCGGGCATTGGGCTTGACAGCTGCAATCAGCTGCAAACCCCAGCGGCCCCTGGAAGGAAGATGCAGACACCTGGACCGCGAGGCAGCCGCCTCGCTGTCAAATGTCACATCTGATGAGCGTCTGAGCGGCTGGTGGCCCTGCAAAGCCCCGAAGGCGGGTTTCAGAAGCAGACGCTTTCCTCAGGAAAAAATAAAATAAAAAAAAAACTGTGGCAGAATCCATATCACAGCAGCCGGAGAAACAGTAACCCATTTAAGGTAACCCAACGCAAACGGCCCTGCTCATGCCATGGTGGCTGCTGGAACGGGAAGGAGCAGGAGGGGATGGGAGGTCGAGCCAGCCGCGGAGTCCCTACTGTGTGCTACTGTGGAGTACCTACTGCGTGCCACGCATTGTCCTAGGCTCCCGGATACAGACGCGGGCAGGACGAGACAGGGTGCCTGTTCTCAGGGAACCCAGCGGAGAGAGACAGCAGAGCCCCACGCAGGCCTGTCCGTGTGAGAGGTCCGAGCCAGACAGACACTCGGAAGGACAGAAGGCCAGCGATGGCGGGCAGCGGGGGCAGCTTCTCGGGGCCAGTGGCCTGCTGGCCGAGACCAGAGGTGAGAGGGAGCCAGCCGTGCAGGGCGGCGAGGGAGAGCATCCCGGGCAGAGAGGACAGCAGGCGCAGAGGCCCTGGGAAGGCCGTGCTCATCTGCTTGGGAGAGGCCAGGGGGAGAGGGCCGGGGCCGAGGGGCCAGGGCGCCAGAGCGGGACAGCTGGCCCCCAGGGGAGGGGAGCTCTGCCAGAGGCTGTGCTGAGCCCCCGGGGACTGAGATCGCCGCCCAGCCCTCTGTCTTCCGGCGCCTTTGCTTCCCGGTGCACCATGGCCGTCCTCCCTCCCCGGGCTGCTGCCGTGGGTGTGCCTGCGAGGGGCTCAGCAGAGACCGGCTCACAGCCCGTGTGTGATGCTCGGCTCCAGCACCCTTCCTCCCCGTCCCGGTGCCCAACGTCAGCCCGCCACCAACGCTGAGCAGCCGCTGGTGCAGACCGTGCTGCAGAACCCGCCCGGGCATCTCCGAAACAGTCTCGCCAAACCCCCCGGGCGGCGAAGAGGCTGCGCTCTGGAGCCTGCGCCACCCCAGAAGGTCCGACCGGCTGCTCTCCCGGCCGCGGGCTCTGTGAGGACCCAGTTCTCTGTGGCTGCGCCCTGTGCCCTCACAGGCTGCCCGCCTGGCAGGGGGGTGTCCCCCCACGGGGCCCCGCTGACGGGCAGGTGGCAGCTCAGGGTGCGGCCTCTGGAGCCAGACGGGCCCCATGCAATCCCAGCCCGGCCACCCCCTGGCACGGCGCCCCTCCGGGGCCTCACTGCCCCTGTCTGTGGGGCGGGCCGTGTTTAGGTTAAGGGAGTGGGTGGAGGTGCTGCCCGCTGCGGGTGCGCCAGGCTGAGGTACAGCAGCAGACCTGGGGCCTGACCCTTCCCGCTGGTTCCTGGGGTTCCAGCAGGTCGGACCACCCTGAGAAGCCCCCTGCCCGGGCCTCCCTCTCCTGCACCCACCCTCACCCCGGCCAGACCAGGCGCCTGGCTGACCCCGTGGAGCTCAGGGCTGCAGGGCGCAGCGGTGGCTGGGAGCTGCCGGCCCGGGAGCGAGCCTCATCTCTCCCCGCGCTCAGCACGGCCCCACCAGGGCAGCGTCTGCAGTAAAGGTTTGTTCACTAGTAAGTGAATGAATGAACCGCTTTCCCGTGGCCACAGACGCAGCCCCTTTAGGACAATTAAAGTGACGGCACATGGGCATCCCTCAGCTCCGGCAGCAGACGGGACCTTGTCTTCCTCGCTCTTTTCTGTCTACATCGATTGATTCCAGGGAGGAGGAGAGAAACATCAGTGATGAGAGAGAACCACTGATCAGCTGCCTCCTGTGCGCCCCCCAATGGGGATAGAGCCCACAGCCTGGGCATGTGCCCTTGATGGGAATCGAACCTGGGACCCTTCAGTCAGCAGGCTGAGGCTCTATCCACTGAGCCAAACCAGCTCTTTCTCGTTCTTTTAACTCTGGGTCCCCAGCGCCTCCCCGACCCCCGGGAGAGTCAGCGTCGCTGCCCGCCAGGCTCCCAGTGAAAGGCTCGCCTGCCAGGTGGAGGGAGGGACGGATAAGGACAGGGACACTCAGACAGACTGAGGAATAAGCAGGCCCACACTGGGACGGGCGGGTCTGAGGGGCTGAGAGTGGGGCCTTGGGAGAGGGGCAGCTGACAGCTTTTCACAGCCCGTCGTCTGTCCTCCTGTCTGTCCCCCTGTCTGTCCCCCTGCTTCTCAGATCTCCTTGGGCTCCAGGGAGTTAGGACCTCACTGCTTCTCCCCTCTCTCCCCCTTTCCCCTGAAGGGCCTGGCTGCCCCTTGCTTTCCACTGGCTCCAGACTGGACGTGGGCGAAGCCATTGTGCCCACACACCTGTCCTCCCACGGCACAGAGGTGGGCACACCGCTGGCCTCCCCACAGAATGCCCCCACACACACTTTGATCTCCGGTCCATCTCTGGCCACTGCCGTCTCTCCCAGGGATGAGAGCAACACCCGCTAAGCTATGCCGCCGTGTTTAGCTCCCCTCCCGCCCTCCCGCCTGCAGGTGGAGGGATGGACGGATAAGGACAGGGACACACAGACAGACTGAGGAATAAGCAGGCCCACACTGGGCGGTTAACATGCAGTAATGCCGGAATAACCACTGCGCGCTCGCAGCTGTAACCTGCTTGTCCCTGCCTGCGTAGACCTCGGTGTGCAGTACAGACGTAGATGTATAATCTGAATAGTCTCTTCCCTGCTCAAATGCCGGAGTCCCCACCACACCCCCTCTTCCTACGGCGGCCCCCCACCTCCAGCCCGCCTCCCACTCCCACCACCTCCCCTTGGCCACCTGGCGCCCAGCCTGGCTGCTCCTGCCCCAGGCTGTGCCTCCGGCCCTCCACCCGGCTCTTTATCAACCGACCCCTTCTCATCCTTCAGATGAGGCTCCACAGGCGCGGCCGGCTGCTTCCTCCTCCATCGCCCGCTGCCCGCTGCCCCTGAGGTGGTCTTGTGTGTTTGTGGGTTCCCTTTGCTCCTCCCCCCAGACTGCCAGCTCCCGGGTCTGTGCCCGCCTGCCCCCTTGGTCCGTCAGACCAGCCCGGCCCAGCTCAGAGCAGACGCAGGGAGCACTGGTGAAGGACGCAGGTGGCTCTGCAGGCTGCTGACCCAGCCAGTGTGTCAGGAGGCGAGCTGTGCACCGGGGGGGAGGGAGCGGCTGTGGGACCTGGGCAG